ATCACTCAGCTTTATAAGTTTATCAACTCCTGGGAATCCTATTTCATCTTTATCTCCACCAACTTTATCTTCTCCATCTTGTTTATTATGAAACAAATCCTAGATATCATCACTTTATCTATAAAATTTTTATTATCAATCTCTAAAGATAAGGACTTTTATCTTTATATACATAACCACAAAACCATTATCACACCTAAACATATTTTTCTATAAAACATTTACTCATAACAAATCAGAAAGTACATCAAGAAAAAAATGAATTAAATAATGATTTCACACCCTCCCATGCTACAAACACTGTTTTATATCCTTACAATTACTTTGCTATGTATGTATATGAGCTCTAAATATATACAAGTAAACCTCATAAATAAATATGAGGTTTACAGATGTGAGATTATTGCTTTCATACGGTTTTATAACTTGCCTTTTTCACTTAACAGTATGATACAAATATCTTTTCATGAATTTCATGTTAAATATCCCACTAAAACATAAGTTTTAGTCATATCTAAAAATATTAACAATAATTTCTCAATATCATAAAATATCCAGTCAATGTTCACACTCCTCTAATTGTGTCATTTTTTTTTCCAGTTTGTTTACATCAGCAACTTGTTGACATGTTTAAATCTCTTAGAATTAATCTCTGGGTTGCTAATGCCTCCATTTTGCAGTTTATTTGTTAATAATACTAGATTGTTTTCCTGCAGTTTACTGCAGTCTAAATTTTGCTGATGAAATCTCTGTGGTATTGTTTCACATGCTCCTTTATCGCTTGTATTTTCTGAAAATTAATAGTTGATGAGATTCAGATTTTTGTTTTTGTTTCTTTTGATGGCAAGAATAGTTATTATTATAGGTGTTCTGGTCTTCCATCTGGAGGCACATAATGTCTGGTTGTCTTCTTTTTTGTGTGATATTAACAGCCATAGGTGATCATTAACAAGGGAATCTGTGTTTTACAGTAAGCTTTCTAGGTAATTATGATGTAGCAGCTATTCTGAGAACAGCATTTGGCAACAACTAATCCAGTCTAACCCCTTTGAGGGGAAATAGGACCTGACTGAGAGGGAAGTGATTTCATCAAGGTAACATAGCATAAAAGTTGCAGAGCTAGGATTCAAACTTAAACCCTGTGATTTTTTTCCCCAGTTGGTCATGGGCCTTAATCCTCACCCACAATCAGCTTGTAGGTAAACTTTTTATTAATAAATATCACTCCCACACTTCCCAGCCTGATTTCAAGGCCTTGCCACTTGCATAGGTTCCTAATCACATTTCCATAGGTAATTTTTCTTGGAGGGCTCTGCTTGCTTCCTCCTTTCCCGCTCTTCAGAACATGTAGGAAGAATTTTTCTCCTCAAGCAGTATTTTAATCTCTTATTTCTGGTAGTGACAACTGCTTCCAATTCATGGCCCTTAAAATCAAACCTAACAATCTGTCTTTGTAGTTCCCTTCTGGACCTCCATTAGGTCAAACACTTTCAGCACTTGTTCAGGGTTTGTGAAGATGCTTATTTGTTTTGCTGAATGTTTGGGTTTCTCTGAGTCCACTTTTCTCCAACAAGTAGGGAACCCCAGGATAGGGCCCTTCTTCTCCATCCTCATTCTCTTGGGATATAGCTCTGTCTACCTACCTGAGTGCTTAGGACAAGCTTCTAGACTGAGTGGCTCATTAACTGAGGGCTGGGACTGTTTGTCTAAGGGATGGGAAGGACTCAGTCAGCCTCTTTATAGTGCTGCCAAGAATTTGACAAGGAGTCAGACAGCAGCAACCATAAAAAGATTTAGAGCTAGAAATGGCCTTACTCAGCATTTATAGATGAGGAAACAAAAGCCACAGAAGTGGAGTAACTTGCTAGTTGGTGGTAGAGACAAATTTTTAACTCTCAGACAAGTGGGAACCTAAGACTGTGAGAGTCACAACTGTCGGGAAAGAAGAAATGTGCTGGGATTATTCAGCCTGGAGACACTTAAGGGAGGACAGACAGTTCAGAGAAATAAAATGACACCCAGTGCTGTCCCACCCCCCACTACCACCACCACACACATACCCACACTTCATCTCCTCAAAGGAAAGAGCAAGAACATAAAAGAAGAGGGCCGGCCAAGTGGCGCGTTGGTTTAGAGCTGGCTTGGGACGCCAGAGGGCCCCGTTTCAGATCCCACATATGAGGGCCAGTGACACTGCCCTCTACAGCTGAGATGCTGAACAACAGCTCAACCTGGAGCTGGGCTGCCCTGAGTCGCCAGCAACGGTGAAGGCTGCAGCCCCTGTGGCAGTGGGTTGCCATGGGCTACTGTGTGTAGCCAGCAGCCAGCAGCCAGCGTGAGCGGCCAGCAGCCGCAGTAAGCGGCCCTCCAGAAGCCAGCGACTGATCTGCCTCGCCCAGGAAGAGCGCAATGATGGTGCCAACCTGGGCCAGTGAAGCAATGTCTTCCACAACTAGACTGAAGAACAAAAGGACAGCAACTTGTCTGTTCCCCTTCCCCCAATTCCCCAGTGCTGTTCCCATCCCCCAATT